GAGGTCAGCTAAAAATGTACACCTTCGGTTGGCCACCAGAACTCAAGCGCCAGCCATGGTGATGGTGTGGGCCGCCATATCAGCCGATGGTCTCTCTCCGCTAGTATTAATCGACCGTGGCATCAGAATAAATGCCGAATATTATCGCGAAAATATGCGAACATTTTGGCCGCAGACTTCGGACATTCCAACAGGCCTCAGCATCATCGCACTCAGCACGCGCCACCCAGGAATGGTTACAAAATGGAGGTCCTCGCTTCATTTCCAACGCACAATGGCCACCAAAATCTCTGGATACCAATTGGTTAGACTATTGTGTCTGGAGTATTTTGGAAAGCAAGGTTGGCACTAGTGTCGATACCGCCAAATACCGCAGAGCAATATTTGGGCAGCATGTGAGGGTTTCATTGGCCATTTGAAGGCCATAATTCGTGCCAATGGTGACCAATTCGAACAAATCTAAACTTATACTAAAATTTGAAGCTATTTCCGACACTTCTTGCTTTCATTCAATAAAATTAAAAAAAAAATTAAACATGATGGCGTTTGACTTTGTTGCAGTGTTTTTTTTTATCTCACCCTGTATACAGGTCCACGTCATTGAATAGCCCCCCATATAACGGTTCATAAAACACGAAATTGAATTTGGCAAATCTCAATATTTCCAAAAGTACAAGATTTGTTGTAAAGATTGTAGAGATGGGACCATTCTTTCTGGTCATTCCTCCCCCCCAAGGGGTCAAAGTTTTGAATAACCAAAATGATTATAAAATCCGAAATAAGCATCCGGTTCTCTTCAAATTTCACACATGTCATTAGTTTTACTAACAGAAGATCTGCTGTGAAAATTTGATATATCGGCACACTCGTTGTGTTAAAAATTTTGAAAAACAAAACGCTCATAAAATCCGAAATAAGCATACGGTTCTCGTTAAATTTTTACGCATGCCTTTATTTTTATTAACCCAAGATCTGCTGTAAAATGCTGCTGTTGTGAAGATGATATATATCTGCCAATCCCTTCTGGTACCTTACCCACAAAGGGTCTCAATTTCCAATACTTATATCTGTTAAAACTTGCGAAAGAAGTCGGCGTTTCTATAAACTTAGCTGTATTTAAAAATTATAAATTACATATTCAAATCAGATGGATGATATGAATAGTAGTTTATCGGAATTTATGATTTCGTATAAAATTGGATATAAATGTTCTATTTTCTTGCAATTTTGCCCATACCAATATTTTCATCTGTATTGGATGAAGTGGAATATTTCGGTTCGCTATATCCGGTACCTCACACATATATCCCATTTTCCGAAAATTTGCACATATCTCATATAAAGTATAGGAAGAAGACGATATAGCCCAGATCTGGCACGTTGTAATCTTTATATCAGACTTAGGTCAGATACGAATTGGACAATATTGGCCAACAGCTTCGGAGCCTCACCAATAAAGCCCATAAAGGGTCAAGAGTTGGAATAATCATAACTCAAGGCCTGGGGTTATACATTCGTCGGTAAAACCAACTGATACTATTTTACTTGTTTAATTTAAATTCGCGACGAGGTTAGAAGCTTTTTGGACATGAAATTAACGTTTTGATTACTGGGTATCAATAATTTTTCTTTTTGTTTTCTATATTTTTTTTTGTAAATTTTCAATTTCCTCTTTATCTTGCCTCAATGTAAAATCAATGTTCCATAACTTTCTATCTGCTTTATGACGCCCTGATTTAAAAAGAAAACACCAAAGTGCAGTGAACTTTGGGCGACTTTAAAACTTCCACAACGCGCCCCCGCTGCTCTCTTCGAATGCAGAAGGGCTTCGTTTATTTTGAGATAAGAGCGTCACTCACTACTGACAGATGGGTTCACACAGACAAACATTAACAGCTATTGGGGTCACGCATGCGCATCGATCGTAAACAAACCTAAAAAAATGAACACCACATTTTAATTTTTCTCTTTCGAGAAATTTCATTATGTAGCGATGAGATATTGATGTTTCAAAGTGTTTTAAGAACAATAAAATAGTTTACATTAAGCACGTTTAAAGAAAAGAGTCTAATTGATTTTAGTTGCTATCTATTGATTTTATATTGAACACAATTGTGAAAGAAGTTTCCTTTAAAACAACGCCGTATTTTTAATAAGTTTTACCCCATTGTAATGATTTCCCAAGGGATATGTTATATGGCTTCCTATATCCACAGCATAAATAATGCGTAGAAAATATGTTAAATATGTTCATAGGTATGTATATCCCCGAAACCATCACCCTTTCAACTTCAGCGTTAAAAGTAAACCAAACTGTACTCCCATCAGCAGCATCATTCTCTAATAATTCTGGTTTCATGCGTGTTCCGTATGTATGTATGTGTTTTAACTTATGCGTCTTCTTCAGGTGTTCTCTGGATAAAAAACATTAACAGAACTTCACACCGGAACTGTGAGAACGGTAAACATGCATGCACACACCCACAAACATAACAAACTACCAATACCAAACATCAAATGTCAAGTTCTTGTGTATTTTTCTCTTTTATTTGCATTTGATAACATTTAAAGAGAACACAACTTAATGCAGGAAAGAGTAGAGAATAACATAATAGAACGCACAGTGCTTTGAAGTTACAAAATGGATATTAGGTATTGTTAAAATGGGTAGCTACATTTAAATTTTTTGTTATGATTTTTATACCCACCACCTTGAAAAAGAGGAGGGCTTTGTAACATCACTAAAAATTCGTCGTAGACCCCATAACGTCTATACAGGGTGAGATAAAAAAAACTGCAACCAACTTCAGACTGCTGTCATTTCTGAGCTACTCGTCCGACAGCTGTGAAAACTATTCTGTTTACAAGCTTAAAAAAGCATTTTAGTGAGAATTGGAATTCAAGCGTGATTTTTTATATTTGGCTGGAAAACCACAAGTGGCTATCGTTATAGCACTCCAGCATTTAAATTTGAATAAATCTTTTGTGTCTCGTACCATCGCTCGTTACCGTGATACTGGTAGCGTAGCCCAACGGCAAGGAAGTGGACGAAAGAAAACAGCAACATCAGCAGAAATGGTTCGAAAAGTAAAGAAGCGACTTGATCGGAACCCGCGTCGCAGTGGCCGAAAAATGGCTCGTGAGCTGAACGAACATATCACAATATTCCATTCGGCATATATTGAAAAATGAGCTCGGGGTAAAGCCATTGAAATTTCAAAAAGTGCAAGAACTTACACCGCAGCAGAAAGAAAATAGACTCAGAAGAGCTAAAGAGATGTTTCGTTTGGTCAAAAGTGGTGAACTGCCGAATTTGGTTTTTGATCGTGTTTACTTGCCAAAGAGGTCAGCTGAAAATTTGCACCTTCAGTTGGCCACCAGAACTCAAGCGCCGGCCATGGTGATGATGGGGGCCGCCATAACATCCGATGGTCGCTCTCCGCTCGTATTAATCGACCGTGGCATCAGAATAAATACCGAATATTTTCGTGAAAATATTCTGAAGGGTGTATTAAAACCTTGGGCACGCAAACATTTTGGCCGCAGACCTTGGACATTCCAACAGGACCATCGCACTCTGCATGCGCCACCCAAGAATGATTACAAAATGAGGTTCCTCGCTTCATTTCCAGCGCACAATGGCCACCAAAATCTCTTGATCCTAATCTGTTGAACCACTGTGTCTAGAGTATTTTGGAAAGCAAGGTTGGCACTAAAAAATACCAAAGTGTCAATCACCTTAAGCAAGAGCTTCGCCAGAAATGAGCCAAAGTGGTTCATTGGCCGTTTTAAGGCCATAATTCGTGACAAAGGTGACCAATTCGAACAAATCTAAACTGCTGCAGCTTTTTCCTACATTTTTTGCTTTCATTCAAAAAATGTAAAAATTATGGCGTTTGACTTTATTGCAGTTTTTTATCTCACCCTGTATATTCATGATCAGAATAAAATCTAAGCCGACTTAACGATGTCCGTCTGTCTACTTGTCTGTTGAAATCACGATACTGCCCTCATTATTCGACGTGCTAAGCTTCAAAATTTGGCAGAACGATTTGAATTGTGCCTAGGATGGTTGGTATTGAAAATGAGCTATATCGGTTCACGTTTTGGCCGCCATATAACGTCACCTCCCGATATTCGGTATTTTGATAATCCTAGTCACATTTACCCACAATTTTTTTCAAATTTGGCATTTAAGATCCGCAATAGATAACAATCGTTGTAATCTAAAGTTGTCTATATAGGCACCCGTTTTGGTATGTCCCATATAACGGCATTACTCACTTTATGCTAATATTTTCGGAAGATTTTTCCGATATATGTCATTTTTTTCGAAATTCGGAAATTTTCGGAAAATATTTTTTTATATTTAACTTAATGTTCTCTCCGATTTTTTTTCCAAAAAACTTTCCCAATTAACATTTTGCTACTGAAATTAACCTCAAAGTAAATCTCACTTTTTAATGATTTAGTCTCCGATATGAACCCATTTCATTACACTGTGCCGGTTTCTTCAGAGTTGAGTGATGGCACGTAGCACGTGTACGATACGCTTCTTTTCCCCCAAATCACCAATTCATTTGATTTGACGTCACTGCACCTCACAAACACATTTACTTGACTATTTTGATCGGAATCCACAACATTAAGAGGAGAAAGGGACCCATCAATGCCACAAAAAACATAAACAACAGAGAAATTAAAAAGTTCCAGAGGTTAGGTAAACTCACGCACTTTTTTCCACACCATTCTCGCTCTCTCACGCACTTCTTCTGTTTACCAAAATAACTGAGTCAAAGCCGTTAAATTAAAACCTAAAAGGCTTTGTGAAGCGCTTTCCAGGCATGTTTATGTTGCCCTACAAATGTTAATCAAAATAAAGAGAGAAAGTGTGAGAAAGAGAAGGAGTGTGTATGTGTCAAGAGAACAGAATGCGAGGCATTCGTGTGTGTGCATGTATTCGTTTGGTAATTGTAAACAACTAAAAGCGCCAAGTTATCCAACAATCTGTAGCAGTTGTTAGTAAAGCGTTGCTGGCAGTTGTCCATCGACAACGAAAAAGCGGCAAAGAAATTTCGAAATTTTGAATAAATTTAAATCCAAATAACGTCAAAGAATTTTATGTGTTTTTTGTGAGCAAAAAAAAAAGATTCCATCGAAGAAAATATAGAAATAATAAAATAAAGAAAATTTACATTTGAATAGTGGAATATTGTTGAGTGGAAATAATAACAATAAAAACAAACAAACATGGTGGAGGAAGTGCCTGCAAGAGGAAGTATTTTGGGAAGTAAGTTACATAGAAGAATTGAACTGGAAACCAATTCCCATATAAGGAAGACAATGAAAATAGTAACGGTTGTGAGAAATGTATTAAAGAAATGCTTGAAAAAGGAAAATTTATTTTTGGTAACATTCCTTAAATAAGTATTGCATGAAATCATATTGGAATTTCATCATTGGCTTGGTGTTGTAACCGCATAAATAAATAGCAAATGACAAATAATCCACGTGCGACCTTTTCCAAATACTTAAAGGTCATTAAGACATTAAGGAAAGCGAAAGGAAAAATCTGTAAACGTGTACACGCACAATCCATAACACCCCACGCTACCGGACACACACACACACCCACCCACCCACCAACACTTCGTATTGACGTCCTGTAGGACTTTCAGGACACCAGCAAGGCGTATGCTTTTCTTTATGATAATAGAGTTATATGTAGTGTAGGTGTGTGTGTGTTTGGTTTGATTCCTTTTATGGTAAAGGTCATTTGGATGTCACCGCACAGGATTGCAGCAGCAGATCTCTTGTTATTAACTGTCAATCATATTGAAATGTGTTTTTTTTTCGGTGATTTGTTAATGTTATCATGTCATGTGCTATGTTTTTTTGGTTTTTAAAATTGTTTAAAGATGTCCAGTCGATTGGGTATGGATATGAATACCAGCAGAATGACGACGTATCATCGTATGGCTAATTGAAATGCATGAATGCGACTGCAGTATCTGAATGCATATGGCCCAAATAATGGTTGGATTGGAATATTTGTTTATTTATTTGTTTGTTTCCATATGCGTTTCATTTTTGTTAACAGTGGAGAAGATAATTAATTTGCTTAAGTGAATATAGGAAAAATATTTGAATTTTTCATTGAATTCATAAACTGTTTTAACACGCATGATTTTTGATGAAAATGGAAATATTTGGAAAAAAAAGGAAAAAGTAAAATAGTATCAGTCGGTTTTGATGACAGATGTATACCCCCAGCCTTGAGTTATGATTATTCAAACTGTTGACCCTTTATGGGGGATGTTCCGAAGCAGTTGGACAATATTGACCAATTCGTATCTGACCTAAGACTGATATTAATATTAGAACTACTATATCGACTACTTCCTATACTTTATATAAGATATCTAATTTTTTTTGAAAATGTGGAAATATGCGTAAGGTTAAAAGTTATAGGATTCCATTTTTATACTTCTTCTAACAGATAAAAATACTGGTATGCGCAAAATTTGAAGGAAATCGAACATTTATATCCAATTTTATGCGAAATCATAAATTTCGATAAATCAAGGTACCAGAAAGTGTTGGCAGATATCTATCATCTTCACAGCAGATCTTGCATTAGTAACAAGTTAAAAAGCAGTAAGTTCGGCCGGGCCGAACTTTTAATACCCTCCACCATTTGCAACGTATTTGGATATTTTTAAAAAATTAAATCCTTAAAAAATTCTGTTAAAATTTAAAAAATACCGAATATAGCCGTTATATTGGGGTCTTTACGACGTGGACATACATAGGCATTGTTTGTCATAAGCCATTACCATATTCAAATTCGAAACTTGAAATAAACGAATAATGTGTGAATAATGTAGCTAAAATCATCAAAATATCGTATATAAGGTGGTGCCGTTAAATTGGAGCTGTGCGAAGACCTGGACCAGCATAGATAATTTTCTGTCACAGGCTGTAGCATCCATTACGAACTCCAAATACCACATCTCAAACAATTTCGGTGGGTATTGTACCTAAAATCGTCAAAATACCGAATATAGGGAGGTACTGATATATGAGGCCTATACGAAGTCCTGGATCCGCACAGACAATTTTCTGTCACAGACTGTAGTTCCCATAACGAACTTCAAATACCAATTTTGAAACAATTCCGGTGAATAATGTCGCTAAAATCATCAAAATACCGAATATCGGGAGGTACTGTTATATGGGGGCTATATGAAGACGTGGACCTGCACAGACAATTTTCTTTCTTAGGGTGTAGTATCCATTTTGAACTTCTAATACCAAATTTGAAACATTTCCCGTGAATAATGTCGCTAAAATCATCAAAATACCGAATATAGGGAGGTACCGTTTTATGGGGGCTATACGAAGACGTGGACCTGCACAGACAATTTTCCGTCTTAGGGTGTAGTATCCATTTTGAACTTCAAATACCAAATTTGAAATAATTCCCGTGAATAATGTCGCTAAAATCATCAAAATACCGAATATAGGGAGGTACCGTTATATGGGGGCTATATGAAAACGTGGACCTACATGGCCCATTTTCGAACTTAACCTGCCTACTGGAAAAATAAACATGTGTGCAAAATTTTAGCCATCTATCTCAATTCATTCGAAAGATAGCGTGATTATAACAGACAGACAGACGGACATCGCTAAATCGACTTAGAATTTTAAGCTGATCAAGAATATATATACTTTGTTGGGTCTGATATGAGTATTTCGAGGAGTTACAAACGGAATGACAAAGTTAATATACCCTCCATAGTATGGTGGAGGGTATAAAAATATTTGGATGTGTGAAATTTGAAGAGAGTTGGATGTTTATATCGTTTTCTTTGAGCGGTTTGTTTTTCAAAAAATCTTGGACCCTATGTGGGAGAGGTACAAGAAGAAAGGGCTTAATCTGTACCAACTTTATAGCAGATCTTGTGTTGATAAAAATACTGAGATTCGCCAAGTCTGAATGGAATCGGATGTTAATTTCGCGTTTTAGGAGCTTCATGGGTACTCAAAATTGTGATCCTTCGTGGGGAAGGTACAAGAAGTAGTGGACCGATCTATTCAATCTCCACACCAGACCTTGGGTTAATAAAAATATTGTCATGTGTGCAATTTAAATAGAACCGGATGCTTATTTAGGATTTTATGATCGTTTTTGTTATTCAAAACTGTGATCTTTGAAAGGGAGGTACCAGAAGAAATGGTCCGATCTCTTCCATCTTTATAACAGATTTTGTGTTGATGAAAATATTAGGATGTACCAAGTCTGAATGTAATCGGATGTTAATTTCGCGTTTTATGAGCTTCATGGTTATTCAAAATGTTGACTCTTTGTGGGGGAGGTACCAGAAGGAGTGGACCGATATATTCCATCTTCCCACCAGACCTTAGTTTAATGAAAATATTGTGATGTGTGTAATTTAAAGACAATCGAACTCTTACATCACATTTTACAAGAGTTATAATTATTCAAAATATTGACCCTTTGTGAGGGAGGTACTTGATGGAGTGGATCGATATTGTCCATTTTCGCACCTGACCTAGAACTGATGCAAATATTGGGATTTGCAAAGTTGGAACGAAATCGTTTCTCTCTCTGTGCAGGAAATATATTTTTTGAAAATTTCGACCTTTTGTGGGGGTGGTACCAGAAGGAGTGAACCGATATTGCCCATCTCCAAACTCGATCTAAGTTTTTATAATAATATTATGATGTACCAAGTTTGGACCAAATCGAATACTCCCTTCGAGAGTTATCGTGCGCACCAGGCAGACAAACGAACGGACGGACATCTCTATATGGAGTGTAGCGATATTTTCCATTTTCGCACATAACTTAGCACTGTTGCAAATATTGGGATTTGCAAAGTTGGAGCGAAATCGGATTATCGTTTCTCTTTCGGTGCAGAAAATATTTTTGAAAATGTCGACCTTTTGTGGGAGAGGTACCAGAAAGAGTGGACCAATATTGCCCATCTCCGAACTCGATAATTTGATAATAATATATCGTAATATAATAATATATCGTAATAGTACCAAGTTTGGACCAAATCGGATACTCCCTTCGAGAGTTATCGTGCACACCAGCCAGACAGACAGACGGACGGACATCGCTATATCGACTTCAAATGTCCTGAAACGGATTTTGGGCAAAAGAGACCTAGGGTCTAAAACCGTTATTTCGATGAGGCACATTTTGGTCGTATCAAATGATATATACCCTCGCTAGCCATATGGCTGAGGGTGTAAAAATTATTGTTTTATTTTATTATAGAAGAAGTAAAAAAAAATTGAGTTCGGCCGGTCCGAATTTTTAATACCCTTCACAATTATGTGAAGAAAATATTTTTATACAAAAGAATCTGGATTCAAAAGTATTGCACTTTAAACTACAAACTTCAGTAGGATTATCAAATTACCGAATATCGGTCTATATATCAAATACCGAACGGTTGTATAGAACCGTTGACCAATATGGACAACGTTTTGGCTGCGGTTGTAGAACCCATTATGAAGTATAAATACCAAATTTCACACAAATCTATTACAAAGTGTGGCTTACAAACTACAAATATCAGTTTTTTAGACAAACCCGTGGAAAAATGTGGGTAGAACCGTCAAAATACCAAATATCGAGAAGTACCCTTATATGGGGTCTATACGAAAACGTGGGCCTATATAAATGATATTCTGTCACCGAAGCTGGAACCTAACTACAAATACCATTTTTTAGTCAAACCCGTGGAAAATGGGGAAAAAATCATCAAAATACCGAATATCGAACCAAAACGTGGACCTATACACACAATGTTCTGCCACACGAGTTAGAACCAATTATGAACTACAAATACCAATTTCAGGGCAAATCCGTTAAAAAATGTGGCATAAATCATCGAAATACCGAATATCGGGAGCTACCATTATGTGGGGGCTATCCTAAAACGTCGACCGATGTATTTCATTTTCAATACCAACCATCCTAGACACAATGCAAACTACTGCGCCAAAATTTAAAAGCTCTACGTCAAATAATGTGGGCTGTATGGAAATTTCAACAGACAGACGTTATATCGACTTAGAATTTTATGCTGATCATGAACATATATACTTTATGGGGTCTATGACGAATATTTAGAGGTGTTAAAAACGGAATGACAAGGTGGAGGGTATAAAAATGCTGCATACATAGATGCTAAGTCGGGCAAGCTAGATTCTGTAGGCAAGCTTCAATGCATTTTGAATACCACCCAC